ATTATTTTATTCACAAATGTAACAGATTTCGTTACACAATAGCACGTCAATATAAATTACATTTTTTATGATAATTGTCACAATTAAAAATTTTATTATTCAAAATAATAAATTAAAATATATACATGTCTATAAAATAAATTAAAAATTACTTAATATTATGTCCTAATTTTAGATTGGAATTCAGATATTCAGTCACATTGTAAAAAGGATTTTGCTCAAAAATAATGTTATTTTGTTCTTAAATTCTATTGATGTTGGAATTGACATCAGTAGAATTTAAGATCACAATTGTCATGAAATCAAATGGGATTCGATACTTGATGACCTTTATTTAACAACCAGAAAATCACAAAATTGTTGAAGAACTAGTATTGCTAACCGGCATTCCTCGTCGCGCATAGCACCGTAGATGCAGAGTATTCCACCATGATTCCGGAAGATACTTGATCTAAAAAAACCTTTATAGTTCTATAAACTTATCTCATAGCTATCGATATGAATATTGATACTTTGGGATACTCATGTAATTACATAACTATTAAAAAGTGATTTGAATATTACTTAAATTAGAAAGTATCGATACCTGGTAGATATGGGAACATCCCTACTTGCTACCCGAGACTGTTCTACGATTTGTGGATGATGTGATTTAGAGTTGCTTATTATCGTGGCTTTATTTTTTCATTTTTGTGAACAAATAATCCTCGCCATATGTGTATGAATTTGAATAGCTACTTACTAAGTAATAATCTGTCCAGTTTATTACTCATTTTTCGTGTAAGTACTGAATCTGTTTTCTGAATGAATGGTAGAATTAAAAACTTGACTTGTTCAAAGTTTAAGTTTATTTGCATGGAGATTGTTTAATTTAATGACTTTAGTTATTTTCTAGCGAATGTTTTGGCTAAGTCTGATGTTTTGTTTATTTAGGTATTTGTTTTAGCAATTGGTTTAATCTCGTTTTGGTTCTTAATTGGATTTTATCAAGATTGTATTGATTATTTTAGGCCAAGGCAGTATGAGATGGCTCTCGTTTTACTTTTGCTACGATTGTAGTATATTCTATATTAATTGTAGTTGTCATGATTTATGGTTTAAGTCAAAAAAATGGGTCACATTTTTAATAAATTTTGTACATGACTGAATATGTCTTTCCAGTATATATAGTACATTAAAAGTACTTAATTAAAGTCACATCATACATGACTAGATTTATAAATGATTAAATATTATTTTCATGATTAAATAATACGAAATTGCCATTACCTCAATTTATTTTATTAATTTCCGTTACGGGGAAACAAATACTAATTTACTAAAATGAGAAAAGAAAGGGCGGGGTTTCCCGCACCATTACATCCCATTCGAGACATTCTTTCATTACCTAATGAGGTTATTTATAGTTGCGATTATGTTTATTACATACGTGTCTATTTACAGAAATAGTCTTATTTTTCAAGAGAACATTCGTAAGAGTTAAGGTGGAGATACACCAAGATTACAAAAAGACAAACAGTAAAATCAAGTGTTACAATAACATATTTCTCACTCTTGTTAGGGTAAATATATAGATAGGTGTAGCCTAAAAAGTGGAAGGATCCTTATTAATATTATAAATGTGAAAGTAGGGATGTTTGTTACGATTTCACGCAAAAACTACTGAAGAGATCATAATGAAATTTTGTACACATGTATTTGGAGGTACGATGATGATTTTTATTAAAAAAAAAACGAATTATTTTTATAGAAATAAAAAATAAAATATCAACATTTTGCTACTTCAGCGCCATATGGTAGAGAGTAATGAAGTTATGCGACCGGAGCCGCAGGTAAAAGCTAGTTACATATAGATTAGTCGACCTAACCACATCGTACTGGTTTGTAAAAACTTTTTATTTAGACTGGCCTTAATGATTAATGTTTTCCCGAATTGAAATTTCGAAGTAAAATTGTTTATTTTTAAATGTAACATAATGTATAGGACCGAATAATACAATCAGAAGCAAACAAGTGTTGTTTCTTTTAAAACTCCTCCAATTTTTGTTTACTATAAAAATGCTATAAGAATTTTTTTTTCCTGCCCAAATGCAGCAACAAAAATTTATACCTTGTTTTGTTGTTGTTTTTTTTTTGGAATAATATCTTATGAAGGTTATAAAATATAACTTTATTCATATTATACTTCTGTATATTGTTATACCTTCTAAAGTTTGTTAGCAAAGTAAAAGTTTATGTTATCTTCATATAATATTTTCTAAATCTATTAATATTTAATATTTACGCAAAATCTGCCGCTTTAGAAGAAATGATATGTAGGCTTATAATATTTAAAGAATATATAATTATTTATTTATTTAAAAATAACACAAGAAAATGCTTACATAGTAAATTATTTTTTGGGTCGATTATCGCGTAGAATAAATATTAAAATTATTTGTATACAATTTTATTTGTTTACTACTATGTACAAATTTACGAATTCCATAATTTCACACACTAAGATTAATAGTCTAAGATAAACGCAATAGATATACAAACACCAAAAATAAAAGGGAATAACACAATTTAGGTGTATAAATCATACAGAAAAATAAAAAGCATATTTTCTCCCCTCTTCCTCCTCCTTCCACAAGTTAGTCGTGGAAAGGTAAGGAACAGACAAAGAGACACTTGTTTTTACGGTCGCAGCATTCTAGCAGTTTAACAACTTTACTTCCTATGGTCGTGATTTATTTTCATGTTTGAATTAGTCTGAATTTGTCTGTGTATCTTATTTATGAAACTACAAAATATAAATATATATATGTGTCAGTAGTCTAGTACTCATATCTCAAGCTCTGCTTAGCTTGGGAGTAGATTATTATTATTACTATCTACAATATTAGTGCGGATATTTCATTATTAGCGGTATTTTTGTTAATGATATGACAATCGCTCTCATATCATCCGTGAATCCGCCTCGTGTTTTACTATTTACATATATACCTGCGTCCTCTTCCACTGCTCACATTAAATAAATACTCAAATAGAATAAATATTAGACGTGTTCCAAATTGAATTGTAAAATCGCACTCGGGTTCCATTATGGGATGTGCAACTATCGTTGATGGAGACCAAATCTTATAAAATATTCACTTTGTTTCATATAGAAGAAATAAAGACCACTTAGAATTGTCAGAAAATCGGCAAGTATGGTACCGAAGTGATAGTGAGTCGTATCGGTTGCACAACTAATAACATAAATCAAATGTTAGTGAAAGTATTCCTTTTTTTATATAAAATCTGATTTGACTTTATTTATTTTTATTCGACTGTCTAAATATATGAAGCCCTTCCAGTATAATATTATAATTTAGATTTTGTTAGCTTTACATAAGCCATTTATTTGTAATAATACTTTTTCCTACACTATTTAATTTTGTTATATGTATACATATACATGCATATCAAAATTAAGTTAAAAAAAAGGAGTACTTTCAATAACATTAGATTTTTGTTATTAGTTGTGCAACCTAAAGTTATAAAGTTCGCTTATTTTACAAAATACAGAAATTTACCAGTTCAGCGGAACCTCATCAAGATTGTCGTAACATGAACTGAACTGAGAGAGAACAGTAGGGCCACCAGTCTTGATTCTTAATCTTAGTAATGTTATAAACGTGGAAGTTTATGAGTGTGGATGGTTGGATGGATGGATGTTTGTTATTCTTTCACGCAAAAAGTACGGATTGGAATTTTATTAAACTTTACAAAAATTCCCCTAGATCCAGAGAGGTACCTACTATTGTATAAACATGCTTAGCTTCTATAAAAATTGAGGTGCTGTATCGTCTGTTTGATATATGTATAATAATTATATCTGTGACTTCTTATCACTTTAGTTTCAACTTAAGCTATTATTATAAACCTAAATCAGTTGACTAAGTATAGAACATATTGAGATAGATTTTTGTACATTAAATACTTTTATTTCAGTGGTAATAATAGCAATTTAGGTATAACTAATTCACAAGACAAGTTCAGTCGGTTCAAATTATGTCATCAATATTCATGGGCTGTCTTGTCTTGCTTCGTGTGACGAATTGACTTTGACAAGTCTACTTACTAGCAAGAGACTGTACAGTTCGTACGCATGTCTTTTTGACCGACTTCATAAGATGAAGCTTCCAACTTGACTGTACACTCAAAGATTTTCGTCAAAAATATTAATAAAAAACTAAATCGACTTCATTATATGAAGTTTCTAATTTACCTCTATATTCAAAGATTTATGCCAAAAAAAAACACGATTTAAAAACAAACTATGTTTTTTGAATAATAAATTTTAATATAATAATAAATAAGAACAATTAACACAGCACCATCTAGCACCATAGAGGCCGTTAATATACACTGAAACGAACCCTTTTAATTCTAGTACTTTAAATAAAATATAATAACGAAGTTTATGAGTATACGGTCAGAGTATGACTAAATTTTGTCGATTTTCAATAGGGTTTTTTTAATACATAAGAAAGGCATAATAAATTCGCATTCGCCATCGCTGGCGGGAAACCAGATTATCCAATTTTGGTAAACTCACCAAGAGTTGTTAAACATAATTACCTACTACATTACCTACTAGCGATAGATTACTAATCCATATTACTAATTATTCTCTTCCTAGGAGAAATCATCTTACATTTGTTTTATTGGGGTTCTTGGGCTATTGTTAGGTGCCTGTGGCAGTGCGACCTATATGGATCTATTGATCTCGCCCTTTTTCAAAGTTCGCTGCCTAGATCCGTGAGGGACAGACATCGGAGGATATTCATAGAAGCGATTGTTTTTATCTTCACAGGAAAGTCATCTTAAGTCACAATACTCTAAATTATCCTCATGCATATAATATACGTCATAATCCTAGAGCCTACTGTAGGACAGACTGAAATGACGACATCTGTTTGGTCAGCTTTAATTAAATCAAAATTATTCCCTCAAAGTATGTACTTCAACAGGTATAGAGGAGCTCAAAGACTCAAGAGGAAATGCAGTGCGCGGATGGCCGCGCTTGTCGTGTCGAACGCAAGTCGACCTCCAGTCGCAGAGACCGCCTTTGCTTGCTAGCTGCCCGAGGTGCCCCCACAGCACCTATTATGATGGTGAGATATTTTCACTTCTTCTATCTCATCATTATAATTATCATAATCAACATCATTATACAGTACAAAACAAAGTCGCTGTCGCTGTCTGTCCCTATGTATGCTTAAATCTTTAAAACTACGTAACGGATTTTAAAGCGGTTTTTTTTAATAGACAGAGTAATTCAAGAAGAAGGTTTATATATATAATACACGTAGACCAGTGCAGGCGAGCAGCTAGTTCATTCATAATTTAAGAACTGCGCTCATGTCGACGAGCTCTGAACGCTTTCCATGATCTTCTATCAATCTTTATAGTTGTTGATATGACACCACTTCAACTTTTTCCTTAAACTGCTTGATTCTTCTATCTAGATAAGAATAAAGCAATGCCTATTCGTCAATATTGCTAAACAGATTTGAATAATTGTTAACATTAAATTATTTCATTCATTTTCTCTGTCTATTTTGCACTTTATAGTACAGGTAGATGTACAAGTTCCTGTTGAGTAAATAATTTGCAAACGTTCATTGTATTTGTGTATACAAAACAATTGATTGTTCGAAAATATAGGAACATTGGTTTGATAAGAACTTCACTTTGACATTGACTTCAAAAATCTTACGTAATACATTTCTTTTGTATAAAAAATCCGAAATGTCAGCTGTCGTACGCAGTATATTAAACTCAATAGCGCAAATGGTAATGTAACGGAAATGCGGTTTTCTTTATATTTCAACAAAATAATAATATAACAAAGAAAATATTATAATCTAAATGGATACACTTTTTTATGTGTACTCATAACGTAACAACGAATTTTTACAGTGTAATCCGATTGTGTTAATTCCTTTTTAATGTACAGGCTGTACATACATTTTATAATATATTTACATTTTTGTTTATAAAGGATAACTAAATTGGTAAAAAAAAGTAATTATTTACCAAATTCTTTAATCGTAGAAAGATACATTTTTGACAGAATAACATAAACTGTGGTTTAGTTACAGAAATCTATTATCTATCTCTATAATAAGTGCATCCAAGCCATGTCGGAAGCTTGTTTAAAATAAAATTATAGAGATATTTACTTATTAAATTTTAAATCACAGATATCTACATATCTCAATAAACAAATAAAGATATGCATTAGTATATGTTGAAGAGCATACGAATGCACAAGTATCAAGTTTAAATTAGTTATCTAAAGTTTTGTTTTTCAAGGCAACTTTAATTTTACATTTAACGAAATGGCAGCTCTAAAGCAGATGGCACAAACAACGGAAAGTTAACAAGTGTCTTAATTAATTGTAATGTTCGGAATCAACTTCCGCTCCGTCCAAATACTTTTTGAATAATAATGTGCCTGGCGAACTTTTTCCTTCTTTGTCGTTTGTCGTCGGTTACTGTTTTTATTATAATTATCTCGCATTAAAAAACGTCACACGTAACGGTTGCTGTTATGACTTTTGCAGAGTTGTTTTCATACTATTTTAAATAAAGTTTTATATAATTATACTGTTTATATAATAGTTTATTAAAGTGGTAAAATTTTAACACTGCGCAAACTGCGCTGTCACGTAATCAATTTAATACGAGCCTGTTTCAGTTTTTATGTTGAATATTTTCAGCAAAGTTCAAAGTTTGGTTAGTGGGGTTTAGATTGGTATATGAAGTGATAAATGAAGTATATTATTACATAATTATTAAGATGGAATATATATATATCAGTAATTCTTGTCATTTACTCTATTCTTGTCTAATTGGAACATGTCTAAATAACGTGTGTGTTTGTGTTTCAGCCTACATTCATGGACGCAAAGTGTAAATAAGGAAATGTTTTAAGTAAAAGACATGAGTGTAAATGTGATGTTTTTTACTAAAGTATAAACTAATTTATGTGTTTAAATATCGTTACACATTTAATAGTTGTTAAATACATCGAAAATATGTAATTGAACTTTAAAATAGTGCTGTAGTTAGAAATCAAGTTGTCTATTTTCATGAATTGTTACTTAATTTATTTCTTAATTTAATACAATTTTTTAATTATTATTTGTACATTAAATTTAATAATGCTCAGATCATACTAGTTTGTAATTTATTAATATAAATTGTTACTTGACCTATTTCAGTATTAAAAATAGTTAAGTATTAATTTATAAATATTTAGAATTATTGTTACTGTACAGAAACACAGTAAATTATTCATTGCTCGTAAGTAATTTTAGCTATTTTAATGTTACTACAAACGATATTTTATTTTTAACTTACAAGAATACCATAGAAAAAATGATTAAATTCAGAACCTCTAAATATTTGGACGAAATATTTATTTAAATTGTATTTAGAATGTCAGCAGTCTGTGGATATTGAAAGCAACGAATCCCTTAATATAAATGAAGAAATTTAAATAGCATAATAAATAAAGTTTTAAAAAATATACACGTAAATAGATTTGGTAATTTTGTTGGTTCTTATACTATTTTCTACTAGTCTAAAACAGCAGTGAAAAGAATATTAACTAGCACACACTTATTTGTAGTTAAAATTATTGAAATTTATTATTTTAAGTTCAATCACTGCACAATATCTGTATTCATGAATATGTCTTAGTCTCGTCGTTCTGTTTAGTTTTGGTAGTATATATTTTGTATATTAGTTTTTTTAGTACCTGTACATTTTTTTATATTGCTGGAGTATAAATTCTGTAACATAGATGCTTGATACACTAGGGTTATTACGCGCGCGTTGCCGATTCTTAACGAACCTTAATATATCCTTTTTGAATATTTCCATATTACAGTTAAGTACTTTAGATAATTGTAAAATATCTTTTTTCGCATTTTGCTTCGCATTTAGGCTGTCGTGCATGCAGAGACGAAAGAATATTCACATTTTACATACAGATCGATTACAAAAAATGACAGAGATTCGAAATATTTTATTCTTGATTTCATAGCGATGAGCCTCTACTATACACCTGTAAAAGAGTGGAACATTTTATTATTCTACACATGTGGGAAACACATTTATCTATCTATCCATGCACGCCTTCTATATTTCGTTTCACACGTTCTGGTCAGCTAAATTATGGTTTACAGATTGCAAAAAAAAATTTATTTGTAATGGAATAGAATAGAAATAATCTTTATTCTGTAACTTGAGCACGCACTTTTGAAATTATTTTCCACTGTCAATGTGGATTCAGCAGAGGAAATAATTAATATTAAAGTTTGAGATAAATAAATTTGTCTAACATTTAGGTTGCTGTATTATTTGTATCTTTTTGTTTGTCAATTTGTTATTGCTATAACGAGGCTTATGACTAGACAGTCACAGATCTGAATAAGTTCTCCGTCTATTGATATTTTGCTTTATGGAGAATGTAAATGGTTTTTAATTGCATTGTATTTACTCAATATGTATTATATCTACATTTCAGCGGTAGGATACAATATTTTCGTCTTTGAATCGATTTTCAAAATTTATCTTATTCTGAAGGTGTACGCATGTTAATCCTAAAGAAACTATTTTGTAAAGATTGAAGGAGGCTTTTCATTTGGAACGCAATCTCAAGTTATAAAACTTAGATTAGATCGGTATGAAACTTTAAAGGAAGAGGTTACAAATAGCGAACCTTTTTGGTCATGACTACTACATAGTTCTATAGCTCTATCACCTGAGGAATATCTAATAGTTAAGTTTGAATAAAAAAGGTTTCAGTATCACTTTCACGTACAGAGTAGAATTGTATACAATATATAGCGCCGTTTAGTTCTAAACTAAGCAGAACTTGTACTTTAGATATAAATTCTTCAATATATATATATATTTTAAATATGTACATAATATACATATTATAGAAGATACCCATACTAATACAAAGAATCATGTGCAGAAAGGGATGATGATCATGAGCCCATTGAAACTAAAGCACCACTGGACCACTCATCATTATAAATAATTAATTTTGTTTTTTGATACAATAAAAGATTTACTAATATTATTATAATAGAATATTAGGCAAATTCAAGTCATTAAAACTTCAATTGAATTGCAAATACGAAGTATTTTGTATAAATATTAAAATGTTTTCAACCCTAGTCGTTTTACTTTTTGTTTGTGCAAGAATGTAAAAAGTGAAAACTTAATATTTTAATAAAATTGATGATTTATGGAATGGCAATGTTATGACCAGATGAATATGACTTGCAACTTTGTCTTAATTCGTGGTAATTTTAACAACACAGTATAGTCATAAATATTTATGAAATTTCCGAATGGCGTCAATATTTGCATCAGTTTTATCAGTTGGTACTTAAGTAATCCATAGTTATTTTCTAGTATTTATGTAGATAACACATCAACATATATATATATTACTATTACGCTAAAATTATATATACTATAATTTATTATTTTGAAAAGAGATGCAAATTAATTTTATACCACAATAAAGTAGGTAAATCCTTTGAATAACAAAAATAGTCAAATATTTTCATAATTATATATGTCTCTCTAACATCCTTGCATTATCCTATTTTATGTGGAATCGGCTCTAATTTTGCAGCAGCAAGACAAAATGTCCTGGTTTGTTGGGTTTAAAATATATTAAACTATGTAATTATTAAATAGTTTACTAATAATATATTTAAAAATAATACATTAACCGAGTAAAAGTTCAGAAATAGACTCATTGTTCTACCCAAACTTGGGTGAATACCCGAAAAATGAAAATACCCAATAAAAGCTTTCAATATAAATTCTTACGCACTTTTTTTATATTGGCTCCATATCTTTGCCTTCCCAACTCTCATTACCATATGTTGAATATATTTTGTTATTGTTTGTTTCTTGGAACACCCTGAACCAATTCGATAATGTTATATCAAATACTTTATTTGATAACTTGGCGTGTAGCGGTTTAACACTAACTTACTTTCCTATAGTTACGCGCCAGGTCTTGACTTCGATCCCTAATGCAATGTATATATTTATATTTATAAGTATGTATGTATTAACTAGGGTATTTGTTGTTTATTACTAGTATATATTAAATAAAACTATTTTTAGTTATATTTACATTTTATTTCACCACAGTATAATCTTTGCTTAATTTGGTATATGATGGTGTGTCGTATCGGTCGATCGTCGAACAATTCAAACGGGGGACGAAATTACGACGGCCAGACCTGAGGTTCGAACCCCTAGCGGATATCGCTACCGCTTAGACTAAAGTCGTATTCGCTAGGCGGGAGTTGGCCTTCAGCCACTCCATAAGTCCTTCCGCGGTTTTGGAGTGCCATCTGCACTCGCTTCCTATCATCCGGTGAACCTGTAAAGGTCAGCTAAGCATTTACCAGCATTAGAGTAGTATGAAATAAATGCTGTGTGATATATCTAGAGCTACTCTTACTTATATATGTCACATTATGTGTGCCTACTTTATTCAACTTCAAGATAAAAATAAAAGAGCTACCTAAAATATTATTATGGTTGAACGCTATAATATATCCTCATCCATCAAATTCTAGACCGACTATTGCTAGTTGAGATTGGGCCGTTCAAGATAACTATGACTGATAATACTCCAGATATAAGAAGTATCCTCGGATATGGACTACTTGTGTATGTCTTTTCTAATTGGGATTGTGCTTAGCTATAATTTGCTAGTTCTACGTAATTTTGTGAATATTTATTTTTTATATATAGTTACTTTGTTACTATTAATACTATATACTAACTATTTTATATTTGTGTTATATTTTAATTTGAATGTCTGAATATAATTGAACTGAAATAATTAGGCTGTGTTGTACTCATTAACTATGTGGTGTATAAATAAATTATTAGTTTTATCATGTTATTATTATAATTATGTGTGCGATCAATAAATAATATTCTTTTTTTAAATCTTTGACCCCCTTAAGCCAGATTTACTTCATTTATGTTATGGGATGGTTAACGAGCTAATTGGCACACATGCACAAAACTGGCTATGGTCTACATATGTGAACAGTATAACAGACATAAAAATGAGATCATATCATACTTCTGAACGAGCGGTGCTTGAAGGGACTGGTCTACTCAGAACACTACGACTGCTTTAACTCTTATTTAGCTACTTAAGGAAAGTTTTTGCTTCTTAAAAAAGTAAGTTGGTTATATAAAGGTAATATAATATAGATTTGTGCTCGTTTGTTCTTGTGATGAGACAGTTTCCCTAATGAGCAGTAGATTAAAATAATATTCAAAAGTGCATTAATATTATTGAATAAAGAATTTTTCGAATTCTATTATCACCTACTTATCTACCACGTTCGATACAGATAATTGAATAATACAAACCAATCAGGTCCATTCGGTAATTTAATATCAATAATGATTTCAATACAATCAATTTCTGTAGTGTTCTGTGGAAATGTAATTTGGACTAAACTAAATGTCAGTTAGTCCTCTCTCAGCTCTTCATTGAATTCAGGAAATATGAAAATGATACTTTTAAAATTTAGTTCAAGAGTAAAAATAGGGGCGGAACGCTGCCATTATGGTATTAGATTAGAATTAGTTTCCAGAGCAATCCATCTGTTTGGTATTACAACCATAAAAACAATGGTTTTGTTAGCTAAACTAACAAATATTTTTATATAACTGCTTCAATATAGGTATAGGAACGGGTGTCTAATTGTTGTGGAATATTTAAGGACAGTTCTAATATTTCATTTATTAAGAACGACAAGACACAAATCAATTAATTCATCTTCAAAACGGTGTAGATATTCTTTGGTAACATTGGTTGTCAGTATTACATATATTAGATATTATGAATTATTTTTCGATAAGATATTTGTAAGAGATTAAGTTAGTTTTTGATAAAAGTGTATGTGGGAACAACGAGATCTAAGAGATGTATGTATGTGTTAAATCACAAAGTGATATTGTAATGTTGTTTTATGTTAAAATATTACTGTGTTTCATTTCAATATTGAATATGTTAGATAATACGTATTTTACTATACAAAGATAAATTAATTGTTAACAATATCTGTCTGTCTGTTTGCATAATTAGAAAAGTTAAAATAAAATGGTTTTAGTGTCTCTGTAGCAACAACCAGTACTGTTTGTCTTTAATAATATCAATGTAATTGTTCAAGAATATCATCACTTAATTATAAAGTTAAAATATCAATAGTTATACACTATTATGTATGAATATCACAGGCTTAACTAACTGTTAAACTCCAAAAATAAGTTTACAAAAATCGACTTAATGTTATTAACTTTAAGTCGCTTTACAAAAATAATCATTTTTGAAATATTGTATTGTATATGGATACGAGAAATATACTTCACGATCATAGACATTGAAATAAATCATAGATACTACTATTTCTGTTAATTTATAAATTAACACTTAAGCTTCCCAATAAACATATATTAAAAATATAAATCGATTTTGGTATTGACACTGCGCCGTAAATAGTCAAAAATTTAAATTTTTATATTATTGAAGTAGATTTATAAAAAAAAACTAATTATTTTGCATACTGTTTGTTTCATGAAATAATTTTGTTATACAAGTATGCATTTTCATAGCATTGTAAAATAAAAAATATATAAAGATCAAAAACGGTGTTCTATTATTGTAGATCATTAATAGATTCTAGTATTGTAAATAAACGTTAATATTTATGTGATAAATGTAACTAAATCGTTTTTATAATATAAATGCAAAAAATACTACAAAACTATTTTTTGACCAAATAAAAACCGAATTCTTGACTTGGCAGTTTTATTTATACCTTCAATATTACAAACATTTACTCGCAAGGGTATGTCTTCTGTCTTTGAGATGTTTCCAACGGTTTACGGTTGAAATAAGGAATCGATTTGTATGAAATATGCGAGAAAATCTAAATCATAAATATTGCGCGGCCGATTTCGCCTGTAATAGCTATTGTATTTTCTTCATAAAAGATTATGTTTACGGCCGTGTTAAAATAAAATTTGGAGGCATATTGTTTGTTTATACTTTATATGATACCATACGGCCTCGTTGGCCTACCCGTTTAGCAGACCGCTTTACTTCTAGGGTTTGGGTTCGATTCTTCGCACTGTACAAACTTTGTATTCATGAATATGATTGTTTGCATTGGTCTGGTTTGTTTTATATTGCTCTAGGAATTGACCACGCGACCATCGAAATTTGCAGACTTCAAACTCTGCATCTTACAGCTTTCTGCTTTATGACTCACTCTACAACCGAAACTCGTGTTACACAACAAGCTGCTTAAAAACCAATGTAGATGACAAAGATTTACATAAATACTTAAATAGACTATTGCCATAGATTAAAAATTACATACGCATGATGACTAGGGGGGCCCTAGTTCACAGGAAAATTGATCAAACATATGGCAAACCTAGGCCTATGCATAACAAAAATCTACAGATTTTGCCAAAACTGAAGAGGAAACGCCACTACGGCTGTAGTGGTTGTGGCCCACTTATGCATAAACGAAATATCTCCTTTGGAAAGTTTACACTCTTTTCTGAGGAGATAAAACCATCACTCATATAAGAATATCCTTCAATTCTGTCCCTGACAGGTTTAGGTAGCGAACTTTGAGAAGGGCGAGCATAATAGGTCTATGTAGGTCATAGTGCTACAGGTTTATGCACCAAACAATAGACCAAACAATCCAAAACAAAAAAAGAAAAACGCATACGACTTCTGAGAGAGTCTACCTCGATAGTCATAATACATTTTTAGTAAGTTTATCGTACTATAATGACGTTCATTAATTATTGAAAAACCATAACAGATGGAGAAGAACTTCGCTGTAATGGCAGACCCATGCAGCTACGACACGTAAATACTTCATAGAAATGTTATAATTGTGAAAGAAGATTTGTTTGTTTATTATTACTTTACAATCAATCATTATGAAAGGTATATACCACAGCACATTTGCACGCAGTTTATCGATAGGAATAGTTGCAATATGAATATTACTAATATACTAAATGTTTAACCTATAATTCTGAATATACTTAGTCTATGTTCCAACGTAGACGACTGCACAAAAATTTCCTTACTTCAAAGATATTCTAAAGAAATTTAAGGTCTCTTCATATTGTGACTACTCTTCAATGTCGACTCAATATTTAATAAAACCTAAATTACCTAGTAAAAATATAATAAAACCAATTTATTTTTGTATATACCTGTTAAAATTGCTTATTACAAAGTCTACCTTCTTGTCTCGCGTTTCAAATATTACCTACACATATTTCATTTTCTTTATTTAACACCCACATCCAAACTACCAGAAATAAATTGAGAACAATATTTTAGTTCGTGAATTATATAGTAGAATAATGAAAGTATTAGACACGGAATCGAGAAGATGTCTATTTATTTATTTTTGTTTGCCATTTCTAAGTGAGTAATAATATCTAAAAGTAATAAATAGACATGAGAAATGGCAAACATGCAGTCGTGTCATTTGATGGTGAATTTGACCGTAAATTTAAATGACCAACCACCGTCATCATCGTGGTCGCACGCCGTCTTATATAACTAAGCATTTAGTAATTTAATTCTATTAACATAACTTAATAAGTAACGTACAACTAAGAACCTAAAATTAAAAACTTTAAAAAATATAATATAATAACTAAAATATATTATTAAAAGGTCCCTTTAGGCAAAGTTCCGAAGATACTGGCAGCGTTCCCTCTTTGAATGGCTAGACTAATTCGAGTAGCTGCCAGCTCTTCAGTCTCCGATGATGTTGACCTTTTTGTTATTTCCTTGAAAAGTCCTATAGCGCTAGAATCCCACGGACCAAGGGTCTCGACACCGAGTGGAAGAAAATTATATTCGGAGCCTAAACCCCTGTATTTACATGCTTCAGCTTTTTCAGCCGCTTCACAAGCCGCACCAGCTCTGTTGTTAGTTCTATGTAGATGGGATGAGGCCAGCGTGTCTGAACAGGTTGCATCCCATACCAGCATTCGGCACATTAAATATTAGATTTGATAATAAACATTACTTTATTTTTATTATTTAACCCGTAAATTATTTTAATATGGCTAAATGTGTGTATTATTTGTAAATACAGGATAAGAGGATTTCCTTGTGTATACCCCGTCGTGTCATCAGATTTAATGGGGTGACATACGTGTACTCGACCCATTCTATGAATATGAAATTTCAGTATCGCAAAGTTAAACAAAAATTTCGCTCTATTTAATCCCGCGGATGTTAAAAATTCCACAGCCTTCTATACTCATTTTATCCCTTTTTTGTAAGCGATATTATTGCAGTATGTTTGCAGTTTACATTTTTTTTGTAATTTCAGTTTATTTTTTTAGAATTAAGCTACATAGTTATTCTTCATTAGAATTCTTTATTAGAGTTTGCATAAAGTTTACCTAAGATGAAGCATATGAATTTTACCAATAACTAAAAATTTATGCTCAACTTCAGTTTGTTGATATTTTTTTTAACATTTTTGTGTAATTTTCAATTTTACCGTTTGAGAGACACCATTGTTCTCACCCATCGTTGACCGCATGATGCCAGCAGTGTGCGATAGAGACGACATAATGCTTTCTTCTAT